GCCCACAGGTCGAGCTGGACATGATGTCTTTCAGGGTCGCCCAGAGGAAGGGTTCCTGGTGGAACAGACCGAGGAGTTGCTACCAGATGGGACTGTTGTGAAGCAACAAGTGCAGACAGAGGAGACTGTCCAGACAGTCTCCTCTCATGATTGGGAGGAGGCGGAGTTAGCCGCCGCGGCTGACTCCGAGCATTTCGTCGTTGAACCACCAGAGGAGAGTGTGGAGGTTAGTTTACGGAAGTGTGCTGTCTAAACAAGTCTGCGATCATTGTCCATCATACGAATACTTCTGAAATTGCTGTTGCTGGGTATCTCTGGTTATCCTTACAGCTCAGCGAACTGAACAATTCAGTTTAGGCAGGTGTAATCTTTCAATTATTTATGGGTATTTCAGTAAGTTTTGGTTTTCAGCAGTTCTTATGGGTTGCCCACTAGTCTCAGGCCATATAACATACTTTTCACCACACTTAAACACACAAATGAACATTTTAAATACAATAGAAATACCTAGGGGTGAAAATGGTGTCCGCAGTTACTAGGGCATAAAGGTTGGGACTGATGTTGCCGATAGTAAAGCGATTACCGCGCTATTACCAATAGGATTCGTTGAGTACATGCTCCACTAGTACAGCAAATTCCTAATTAATTTAACGAGATCATTAAAACGAAAACCGCTACAGATACTGCTACAGTAATAATAATAATGGCGACAAAATTCGCCACAGTTGCTACCACAACCACCGATGCCACTAATACTGGTAACTAAAATAGCCACCACTGCCCTATTTGACGCCATTGTAAAAGTGATCATCCGACTACTTAACTAGATTTATTAAAGTCCAGTCTTTTGAATTGGAAATGAAGTTTTTCCGTTTACCCTATAACACAGATTGAAGAAGTTGAGGAAACCCTGCCTGACGGATCTACCATGAGGAAGCTGAGGAAGATCAAACATGTCACGGAGAGGATCACGGAACGTGAGGTCTCAGATGAGGTCTCCGAAAATGAAGTAGAGGAAGCCGAGGAGCCGAGGCAGTACCCAATCACCGCCACAGACGGATCAGTGGGGCGCTGTACGTACCTTTTCTTTTGCCTTCCCAACCAGTCGACAGGTTCATTTTATGGGGTGATGGTGGTGGTGGTGGTAGTGACTTGTCACGGGTTACTGATGCGCGCATATCCCCTGTGGTCTGTGTGCGTTTGTTCCGTTTCTGCGTCTTCACACTTCCTGTTCCTAGTTCAGGCCCTTGCCCGGGGAACAGGGTCGGCTACCGCTTCGGCTCGCATGCCTCGCTTCGTGATGCATGCTGTATGGACAACCGGTTTCTAGCCACTCCACTGAAAGGCTACATCGTCCTCTGCCATTCAGTTGGTTCAGCACGTTCTAGCTCTTTGCATTTTGTCGCGTTGATGTGCCAGGCTGGTCGAGTATTTTTCAGTGTGAATTAAATTAGAACAAAGGCAAAACATAGAATATAGTACTTACCTCCTAGTGGCATAGAGCACGCAGTGGTAGCCAATGGCATAACAGCCGATCATCGACAGGTCTTCAGGCTATTCAACAGTTTCATGGGCAAGTGCTTGACGCTAGACAGTGCCCAGGAAATACATATGTACCTTCTAGAAAAAAAAAACGTTGTAGGGATTGTAGGAACCGTTTAGTTGGGAAATTAAATATCTTCCTTTGTTTTATGCACTGCATACATGCAAATCCAGAAATTGTAAATAGCATATTTGACACTATTTAGGTGTTGTCCCAGGGGCAATATACTGGGGAGAGTGTATGTTTACCAAGATCTGATAGACTCATGAGAGGGTTCGATTGAAGAAAGGACAATGGACTGACGAGGTGGGTGGAGGTGACCATTAATTATACTTTAAAACATCCTTGGCAATATCATAGAGGGTACTGATCTGTATTTTACACACTGTACCGTCGTTGCCTCTTAAGACTTTCTAAATGATGGAATCTCGTACAGTGAGAA